ATAGGAACATTAGGTGGAAAAATATCAGTATTGAGCTTTGCTTCTGAGATTATCCAAGTTAATTTACTAATATAAAAAGAAAAAAGGAGGTGGAAATCTGTTTCTATTTGACAACATCAGCAGCAGGCTGCTGAAATGTTTTGAATCCTCTGATTTAGCCTTTGGGAAGAAGGAAAGGGCGTCCATGTTGAGTCTCCAAGCAAAAGTTTTAACTTTGGGAGGGACGTACCTGTTCTTCCAGATTTGTTTCAAGATAGAAAGTGATTGAGAGTTAACCTAATGAGCATTTGAATTTTCTTTTTTGTAAACCTCCTTATAAGCACTCTTTGTACTGCAGATACCATTGTTTGTGAATTTCCAACATAGTTTATCTTCTGTTACCTGCTGAATCATTTGAACCTGCAAAATCTATCTATCTTTATATACTAAAAGTCCATTAAACTTTCTAAAAATGCTCTCAAGCCGCCACGTGGCTTCCTCCAAACGCTCTTAAATTGACAAGTGGCAATCTAATAAACCGGTGGACCCACTATTTTTAATATATTAGATTTAATTTACCTTTAAAAAAAAGAGACTCCACGATTCTCCTCATTTTCCTGTTCCACACCGGCCCACCTAATTAAATATGTACTCTCTTCCTCTACTTCTCCGGATATATTGGACCAAATGAATATATTTCCAAACAAAACAAAAGCACACGACGTATCCTCCTGCCGCACATACACACATGTGCGTTTCTCCTCTCTGTCTCTGTGTAGTGTAGGTACTTCCCCCGGCCCTCTCTGGAATGTACTAGCTAACAACCTCATACTGTCATACATAAACTTAAGTAGTGCTCATAATTTTTACGAAGTAATACGATAACTCCACAACGATGTGCCGACAAATCAAAACATTAAATAGCTAGGCTTTCAACATGCGTGCTGCTTGCTTTAGGCTGTGTTCGGGAAGAGGGGTTGGGAACCCCTCCTCTCCGGCACATAAAACGATGTGTGCATTAGCGCATGATTAATTAACTATTAGTTTTTTTAAAAAAATAGACTAATATGATATTTTAAAGTAACTTTCGTATAGAAAATTTTTATAAAAAAAAGCACACCGTTTATTATATAGTTTGAAAAGTGTGAACACGGAAAACAAGAGATAAGTTAGGATTGTGAGGTAAAGAACTCAGCCTAATTTGGTTATCCAAATAGGCTAACCTGTAATCAACTAGGGATTAATGCAATTAGCATTAGGTCTTCAACAAATGCGGGTGTGCACTATTTTCTTTTACTCGCTAAACAACAAGCATCCTAAATAATCAACAATTTTGCGGACCCATTAAAATTAGATCGATGGTGTCTTTAAAAAACTATAGATTCAACCATGGTAAATAATAATTTTTAGGTACTAGACTTCTACACTTTGTATGTTTTTTTAATTACCATTTAAAAAAATCTATAGTAAAAGTCCATTAACCTACAAAGGCACCTATACTATCACGTTATATACCTATAAACACTCCTAAATTACCACGTGGTATTATAGTAAATCGGTGGACCTCTATTTTCAACTATTGGATTTTATTTTTTTGAATAACAAAAACTACAACCCACATTCCTCTCCTCTCTTCCATCGGCCCAACTCTCCTCTCACCACTGGCCCACCCTTCTCACCACCCCACGCACATACGTACGTACACCTCCTCTGTCTCCAATAATTAATCCTTTCTCTCACCTTCATATTTCCTAACTAACAATTTTAATTCTAAAAGTTATTATAAAGAAGAAATATTAAACCAACAATTTTCAATTAAATTGGTGACCTGTAATTTAACAATTGGATTGTCACATATAGATAATTAAAACCGATGAACTCATTAAATCTACCTCTATAAAAATCAAAATCTCCTCACTCAATAACAATAAAACATTAAAAAAACTGAAATTCTATATTACGTAGTCTTAGAATCGTTTTACATAATAAAAATCAACTTAGCGTGCTCTATAACGCTATTAAGTCATAATGTATCACATTTTAAAAGTTAGATAAAATATAATTCAACGAAAAAATAAAACATCTATCTGTCGGTTTTCACTTAAATCAATGACCCATTATTTTTAACTATTAGATCTTCTTTCTCTATAAAAAAAATCTTAATCCACCACATATATATCATCTGTTAAAGATTTTTAGAATGAGAAAACAACAAATTCTCACCTACATTATTTAGAAACATTAGAAAAACAATGTCCCCTCCACCTCCCTCTCCAACCATATGTGCACAACACTATTACACTGCCAACCCATCTCTAGCTCGAGTTCTATGTTATTCGTTCCTCTCCAATCTCCTCTCTATTTTCAGCTACTAAAATAAAGAGATAAACAAATATTGAAAATACCATAATTTTAAACTACGCATATAAGTTTCTAATATAATTGTTGCTTTATTTATAATTAAAGCACAATTCAAGATCCATGTGCCTATATTTTGTTATATAAAAATATGACATTTGGGCACATTCCACCGTGCACTTTGCAGGTTATCCAAATAGTGATGGAATATAAAAAACATTATCGACATATATTTCGTAATTATACATCAATCTTTTTTAATGATGCACAACATCCCTTCCTTTTTACATTTTATTCAAATTTCCATTAAAAACTATGAAATAACTCAACAACATAAGTTGCACCATCATATATTATTTTGCAACCCTACATGACTAAATTAGACATTCAGTTCGCAAAAAATAGCCCAAACACGAATATTTCAAGCGAGTACATAGAAAACAGTTCATAGGGATAATCATCCAAATTGCCATAAAAGAATAAAAAAAATCAAAAAACACTGATTGTATGTGCATTGTTTTTTCAAATAGAGTTAAACTAGATATACATATATAAGAAATATAACTATCTCAAATCTAATTGTCTAAAAATTGGTGCTTTTACTTAGATAAAAGAATCCGATTAATTCATGATACTTTTTGCAATTAATATGCTCAAATAATCCAAACAAGCCAACCGATCTTCTGCCAAAGTGTCCTAAACTTTATTTAAGTCGATTAGATGATTGCTTTTTTTTATATAAAGGCGCCATATATTACCCCGCACTTACTCCTAGGCCTTTTAAACCGATGAACACATTATTTTCATCCGTTAGATCTATCTCATCTTAAAAAACAAGTGTGTATTCATGATGCATCACATTCAAAAAAATATATATAGCGCAACTATATTTCTTCATCCAACTGTATTCACTCTAGGTTGCCTGGAGCCTCCCACATACTCTACACATAACATTCGCATATGGATTGTCTCTTAAACTATATAATTATATTAGACTATATAAACACGTGCATTTAGGGAAGCCTCATATCAGACCAATTCACCCGTCGATAAACAATGATAACCTATATTCAATTAAAAAACGCCTTACTTTTGACATGACACTTTATTTGATATACATGTTTCTAACATAAAATAAGTCTACCTTCTTTTTAGATGATGAAGAAGATTAATTATAAATAATTATTTGTAGGGATTAATTAAATATTATTTGCTATAAAGCTAACTAATAGCTAGGTTAGAAAATTATAAAAGCAATGCTGATGGAAACAATTTATGGAGAAATTGTATATAGCATATGTTCAAATTAACATAGCCTACGACACATATCCGCGCGAATGCGCGGGCTACCTTTCTAGTTTTGTTAACAGCATGACCATTAAAAATGGAGTTGAGCTTGTGGATGTCCCAGCTTTTATCGCGGCATAGATTCGTAATTCAGTGAAAAGAGAGAATGAGGAGAGTACTACTGACGCTTTTCATAGGGGAGGACAGGGAGCTGAGCAGCGAGGAGTTGGAGGAGCAGTAGTGATAGGAAAAACGGATCAAACTCATCAAAGTGATTCAATTTTTGCATTGGAGATCAAGAAAGAGATTAGCTAGTAGATTAGAAGTGGCGATCTGGCCTTCACTGAAGCAGAGTTGTGCGAACAGACTGTCATTGCTGAGGGAGGAGGAGGAGGGAGATTGAGAGGTAACTGGGAGTTGGAAAAACGGATACAAGCTACAACTCTTGACGGAGACTTAATTTTTGTTGTTTGTGGCAAAAATTGATGGGGAATATGAAGGGATCAGTGAGAATAGATGGAAGGGACTTCATGGCCTTCCCTTCATGGCGATTTGTGGCAAAAAAACAGATGAAGAAAGCGCGGTGGTTCAAGTTATGACGATGCCGCACGCGCGGAGGACTGAAAATTGGTTGCAGGGTGGTATCGGCCCAAGCTAGGCTGGTGCACATACTCCGTCCGTCCCATAAAAAATCAACTTAGTATAGGATGTGACACATTTTAGTGCTATGAATATGAATATATCTTTTTACAGATTTATTGTAGTAGACTATGTCATATTCATATTCAGTATTAGATTCATTTTTTTTCGGAACAGATAGAGTATATGTGTGGTGTGAGGACATGGGCTGTGTTACTTTGACTGATGCACCCTGAGAAAGGACAGATGGAGAGAGAGAGAGAGAAGAGATCAGGAGGAGGCAACAAGAGGAATCCGGAAGGAAAAGAAAAAAAAAACAAAGGAAGAGAGGAAATAGGAAAAGATAAAGGAAGAAAAGAAAAGGATAGGATTTTTTTTGGGAAACTTTCTGGATTTGGGATTTGTAGGATTTGGCAGAATTCATGAATTTGAGCTCTACTTCCAAATCTCAAATAAAAACCAAATAACTCCAATTAACAAACGATAAAAAAAAATAAATGGATGGCATAATTGATTTATTTAGTCAATTTAAACTTTGTTTGATTTATGAACTTTTCATTAACCTATTTGAGACGAATAAATCCGAATGTAAATTTTCGAAATTAGGCAAATTCAAAAACACAAAAAACAGGACATGATAATTTTTCTTGTCATATAAAAACAATCGTGTTCGAATGAACGAATAGTTAAACCGATCACCTTAAGAAAGATATTAATAATAAAAAGAAGAGATTTGGTAAACCGTTTTGGACCTCCTTGTGCGACCCACACCATGCTCTATCTTTAGCACGGCACGTCTGCATTCCTTTTTTTTCCACCGTCTCTGGAAATCTACATTGATTTTCTTTCTCCTGGATAGTGTCTTATTAAATTTCACAATGAAGTTCCTCCATTTCTCCTCGTACCACCAAATTATTTACTATTACTACCATATATATCGTTACATCCATGTAAATATAAACACGACTCATTTCATTTCAAGTTTAGATCACAGCCATACCATTCCCCGTGTCACCCTTCCTCTGCTCTTGGGCCACAACCCTCTGGTCATTCCTATATACATACCTCCTCGCGAAGAACACGTAGATCACCAGCGCCACCACCTCGATGATGCAGAGGACGACATAGAACCGGTCGAGCTTGCCCTTGTTCAAATTGGCCCCATCCAGCCACCCTCCGCCGTTGGTTCGCTGGGTGACACGGTTCGTGACCTGGATGAGAAGGCTGCCGAGCCATGCTGATACACCGAGGATACAGTAGAAGATGGAGCTGCCGATGGACTTCATCCCCATGGACGCCTCGCTGCAGAAGAACTCGAGGAGCCCGACGAAGGAGGTGACGTCGACAATGCCAATGAGGAAGAACTGCGGCGTCAGCCAGAACACGGACAGCGGGATCCCAGTGGTGGCGTCCTCTAGCCCGCTCTCCTCGGCGGTCATCTTCCTCCTCGTCTCCACCACCGCGGCGATTGCGGTGGCAACGATAGTAGCGACGAACCCGATGCCGATCCGCTGGAGGTGGGTGACTCCACCGACGTAGCCCGTGAGCCTGCGCAGCGGCGGCACGATGGCGCGGTCGTAGATGATGAGGATGACCATCTGGAAGACGGTCGGGATGAGGAACAGCGTCGCCGGCGAGATGTGGACTGCGCCGAGCCTGGTGTCCATGGTGTTGCCCTGCTGCACGGTGAGGCTGAGGAGCAGCGGCACCGGGATGTAGCTGAGAACAGCGGCCACGAAGATGGGCGCCATGCGCAGCACGATCTTGGTCTCCTCCACCTGGGTCACGCTGCACAGAGACCATGGCCCAGCGTCATTGCCAGTTTCCACTGCCGCTTTCTCCAAGCACCTGCAAGCCAATGAAAATCTTGATGCTACTTATTAAGTTGAATGGACAAACTTATTTAACCTATAAACTTCAACTGTTGAGAGAAAGAATGCAATTTACTTATAATCCAACGCTATCGACACAAAAAGTCTGTTTCATGCCTTGTAAATGGAATATTATAGAAGTGGGTTGCCATATTTTATTTAATTGAATGTCTATCATGTTTTCATCCTGAGACATCTGGCTTTGTGCCATTATGTCGATATAGAAGATACATTTACCATTTGAACCCGAAATCTTAATCTGGTGAGAGAAGATGCACCATCATAATTATACACCTCTGCACCAACATTACCGACAGACAAAGTCTAAATCTTGCCAATGTTCAGAGTTTGGACAACATACCGAAATCCATCTGTTTTGGGGAGAACTTCGTGGGCATTGGCATCGTCATCTTGGTTAATTTGCTTCAATTCGCTGGGATTCTCCGGCAACCGGACGTTTCTTTTCTTGAATGCCGCTACAAAAACCTGAGATACATAGCTTTATTATAGTGTCATGGACACAGCTCCAATCGAAAAAGAATTAAACCAAAAGAACAGTTTTGCTATTCGTCATCCGCTTTAAACTATTTTATTTATGGGTTCTTCTTAACTTACACATATATTTTGTTTGAAACAAACTAAACTTACAAAAATATAGCTTCAATTTACACTGCAATCTATTTTTTGGGGGGAATACACAGAAGACTTCAACATGTTTGTATTAACATTGGGGAATTTGCAGTGCAATCTTAGACGAAATTTAGCTCTGCCTATACAATTTTAGCAAAATTTTGTAGCCTTAATCAAGGACCCTGTTTGTCAGTCTCGTATCATCTAAACATCCACAAATATAACTTCACACAACCTTCAATACAAATTACACAAAACATTTAATTACTGCAACATTCAGAAATCTCAAAAGAGGTTATATCAAACACAACCATCGATAATTCGATTTCATATACACACCTGCAATACTCTTGTGATGGGGCTCCCCATCGGCAGCTGGTTCCGGTAGAGCGGGAAGGCGGCGGCCCAGACGAGCAAGCCGAGCGCGACGAAGGCGGCGGAGACGGCGAAGCCGACGCCCCACCCCTTGCTGTTCTGCACCCACACGATGAAGACGAGGCCGACGAAGCCGCCGGTGGAGACGGCGAAGGTGTACCAGTTGTAGAAGCTCGTCTCCTGCCGCTGCTCGTCCGGGTCGCCCAGGTCGAACTGGTCCCCGCCCAGCGCCGGCAGGCACGCCCTCGCCGCGCCGTCGCCGATCGGGATCAGGTACAGCCCCAGCAGCAGCAGGCTCAGGTTCGCGCCGCGCACCGGCTCGCAGGTGGTGGTGGCGCTCGCCGCCGTGGCCGCCGGGCTGCACGGCGGCGGGTGCAGCGAGGTGGTGTACGCTTGAACTGCTAGAAGGATGTAGCCCTGCCATGGAGTAACCATGCATCCATTTGTCAGAACTGATAAGCTTGTTTGGATGGTTATTTTCTTATTCATGATCTTGTGCTAAACAAATTTGTCCTTTGTTTTAATTTTGAGAAATTTTACAATTCTTAAGAAGTCAAATACTAAAATTTCACATTACGAATTTTGATACCTTTAGAGATATAGTATGTGAAGATTTCAAGTTTTACACTTAAAACTATGGTATCTCCTGATACTTTAGTAAGAAATGATAAATTTACCCTGTGAAGATATTTACCGGTTGGAAGGCAGAATTAATACTTATAATTTAAATTTCAAATACTAGGTTTTCTGCTGGTCTAAAATTTAATTTTCAATTTGAATTTGGTTTCCGAAATTGGGTAATCCTGTCATCAACCAATTTTAGCACTGCCAGCTAGTGCAGTTTCTATTAGAAAACCGCATCAATACTGATTACGGACCTGCAGTATTAGGCCTTACTTTCAATTCTATATAACCAATTTTGCCCTGTTAATTTATTTCCCAGGGGATTCAAGAGAATTTTGAGAATAATTCCTCAATTCCCTCCTAAGAATTAGCTGAAAAAGCTCTTATGGTTTGGTTTAGATAATAAGAAATCATAGGTGAAATTGGGACGTGGAAATGAATAAAGTATTAGGATAAGAAAATGTGAGAGAAAATGGATATCTAGTATTTAAAGTTACTCCTTAATAGGTTGAAATTCATTTCTCTTTCCCATTATCCAAACATACTCTTAGATTTTTTTAGTCGTCGAAAGTTACTCCTTAATAGGTTGAAATTCATTTCTCTTTTCTACTTAACTTGATGTCGCTTATCAATCAATTATTTGGTTGTGGACATCCTTTTCCTAATTAAAAATCTGGCCATTAATCAGCACTCGGCAGTCTGATTGCCAATCACATCGGTATAATCATACCTATTGTAGTTGAGAGAGCAGTTCCAAAGTTGACAGCTTCTAGAAAGGTTGTCGAAGAAAAGATCGAGTAGGTGCTATGTAGTAAGAAAAAGTGACTAATGGCGAGTTAGTAAATAATATAAAATATATTATATGTCGTTTCTTGGATGATAATGCTCCAATAATCATGTGAGATCATGATAACATGTGTTTATTAAAACCCTTAGGTCTTTTTATTTTGAGAGCGCTATTCCTCAAGTATTTCACTATTACTCACACCCTACCAACTTCATCTGCACCATATCACAAAAAAAAAAATCGTTTCGTCCCAATAATGCTCAACTCTGTCTCCCATCCCCCCCCCCAAAAAAAAAAAAAATCTGTCTCCCATGATAGGCTGCATGACTGCATCTTTCGTTGCCTAATGCCTATCATCATTATCTATGCCCCATATACATATATGGTGATGTGTTTCCTTCTCCTACCATGCATAAAACCACAGTGGGTGGTCTGTTGTTGGGGACACCTAGCTTCTTTGTTACTCTCTTTAGATAAATCGAATGCCTGCAGTCTAATTAATTATTCAATTTTGAAATTTGGGGTAAAACCTGTTACTATCGGATTGAAATAGAGCACATAAGTGAGAGAACGTCAGGCGATACCCTATAGCATTTAGATTTGAAAATGAGTTGAAATTTACATCATGGTGCTATATGTCACCATGGAAAATTTTATTTAAAAATCGATTATGCATCAAGGAAATTAAAGGAAAAGATAAGTTTATGCTTTGCAGACTGACAGAACAGTAAGTTCACTGTCCATGGAATTTTGCATTTTGTCAGGGGCCGATCCACTGCCCTGTTGTTGTGTTGAACAGCTTCAATTTTGCACATATTTTCTGCCAACATTTACATGTATTTTTCCGCTACCTCCAGAGCTGCAATGTCGTTCTAGGCTATCAACGTGGTGGGTTGCTTAGTTGCTTGCTTATATCTGTTGGAATTAATGAATGGGCCTTAGCCCACTCGAAGATTAATTCTTTGGAAAATCACAAAAGCCCACCTCATGGGATGGCATGCATGTGGAGTTTAGTACCACCTTGCTTATTCTAGGAGAGGGGGACCTCCTTAAAAGGGAGGATGTCCTCCTAGCCACTTGAAGCATGTGTGGTGGAGAGAAGAGGGGAAACACACGCGCGCGCTCGCTCGCCTCGCCTGGCAGATCGCTCGCCTCGCCTGGCAGGGCAGATCAGGGTCACTCTGTGGCTGACAGCTATGAAATGCTTCTGGCAAACCTGAGAGGAACATGGCATCATACATGAGAGGACGCCTCCCTATTCTCCCGAGTCTAATGGGATTGCTGAAAGGAAGAACCGCACACTGACTGACTTGGTGAATGCCATGTTGGACACCGCGGGACTGCCTAAGGCATGGTGGGGGGAGGCATTGTTGACCTCAAATCATGTGTTAAACAGAGTTCCTAACAGAAATAAGGACAAAACACCATATGAGATATGGATTGGTAGAAAACCATCACTTTCTTATTTGCGCACATGGGGGTGCTTGGCGAAAGTCAATGTACCAATAACGAAGAAGCGCAAACTTGGACCTAAGACTGTGGACTGTGTTTTTCTGGGATATGCTCATCATAGCATTGCCTATAGATTTTTAATAGTTAAATCCGAGGTACCGGACATGCATGTTGGTACAATTATGGAGTCTCGTGATGCTACCTTCTTTGAGAGCTTTTTCCCAATGAAGGATACACATAGTGGTTCGAACCAACCCTCTGAAATAATTCCCAGTTCAATCACACCACCAGAACAAACTGAACATACACATGAACTTGTCTCTGAGGAGGATGTCAGTGAAGCTCCTCGAAGGAGTAAGAGACAAAGGACGGCTAAGTCTTTTGGTGATGATTTCACTGTGTACCTCGTGGATGACACTCCTAAGTCAATTTCAGAAGCATATGCATCTCCTGATGCAGACTACTGGAAGGAGGCTGTCCGTAGTGAAATGGATTCCATTATCGCTAACGGGACTTGGGAGGTGACAGAGCGACCCTATGGTTGTAAACCTGTGGGGTGCAAGTGGGTGTTCAAGAAGAAGCTTAGGCCTGACGGTACTATTGAAAAGTACAAGGCTCGGCTTGTTGCTAAGGGCTATACTCAGAAAGAAGGCGAAGATTTCTTTGACACTTACTCACCTGTTGCTAGATTGACCACAATTCGTGTGCTACTTTCTCTAGCAGCCTCACATGGTCTTCTCGTTCATCAAATGGACGTTAAGACAGCTTTTCTTAATGGAGAGCTGGATGAGGAGATCTATATGGATCAACCTGATGGGTTTGTAGTTGAAGGTCAAGAAGGCAAAGTGTGCAAATTGTTGAAGTCTTTGTATGGTCTGAAACAAGCTCCTAAGCAATGGCATGAGAAATTTGACAAAACATTGACATCTGCAGGCTTTGTAGTCAATGAGGCAGATAAATGTGTGTATTATCGCCATGGTGGGGGTGAGGGAGTTATTTTGTGCTTGTATGTTGACGACATACTGATATTTGGGACAAACCTTGAGGTGATAAATGAGGTTAAATCATTCTTGTCTCAAAATTTTGATATGAAAGATTTGGGAGTAGCTGATGTTATCTTAAATATTAAGCTAATTAGAGGTGAGAATGGGATTACACTCTTGCAGTCCCATTATGTGGAGAAGATCTTGAATCGCTTTGGCTACATTGATAGTAAGCCTTCTCCAACACCTTATGATCCTAGCTTGTTGCTTCGCAAGAACAAGAGAATTGCTAGGAATCAACTGGAATACTCCCAAATCATTGGCTCGTTGATGTACCTGGCTAGTGCAACTAGGCCTGATATCTCCTTTGCTGTGAGCAAGTTGAGCCGATTTACCTCTAATCCGGGAGATGATCACTGGCGTGCGCTTGAGCGAGTAATGCGCTATCTGAAAGGTACTGTGGAATTGGGGCTTCACTATACTGGGTATCCTGCGGTACTGGAGGGTTATAGTGATTCTAACTGGATCTCTGATGTGGATGAGATCAAAGCCACTAGTGGATATGTTTTCACACTGGGTGGTGGTGCTGTTTCATGGAGGTCTTGCAAACAGACCATTTTGACGAGGTCAACCATGGAAGCAGAGCTAACGGCACTGGATACTGCTACTGTTGAGGCAGAATGGCTGCGTGATCTATTAATGGATCTGCCTGTTGTTGAAAAACCGGTGCCGGCTATCCTTATGAACTGTGACAATCAAACGGTAATTGTCAAAGTGAATAGTTCTAAGGATAATATGAAATCGTCTAGACATGTGAAAAGACGATTGAAGTCTGTCAGGAAATTAAGAAACTCCGGAGTTACAACGTTGGATTACATCCAAACAGCGAGAAACCTGGCAGATCCCTTCACGAAGGGACTATCACGAAATGTGATAAACAATGCATCGAAGGAGATGGGTTTGAGACCCATGTGAGTTATACTATGGTGGTAACCCAGTCTATGTGATCGGAGATCCCGTGAATTAGATCCTGGGAAGAACAAACCATTAGTAAACTAGAGGAGAGTATCAATATATATACCCTCTCCAAGTGAAGATGCATGTACTCTCGTGAGCTGCAAGGCAGGTTGGCTATGCCTCAATGAGTTCTGTTGGCTTTAATTAGCGAAGATGTTGTCCTGCAGAGCATTCTTGAAAGAACTCACCTTTGTGAGCTTGACTGTTGGTCGCAGTCTATGAAGATTTTGGGTGAATCTTCTAGGAAGCTTACTAAAGACCTAGGAGTATGACTTATACGCTCCACCCGAGGGGTAGTCTACAGACGGTCTATTACTAGATAAGACTTTGAGTGAAACTTGCTTGCACAAGACTTGCAATTCAAGGCGTAGTCCATTGTTCAAGTTGTGAGTAAGTGTAGCTTGGAGTTCTAGGTGGATGTTCAACCTTAATTGGTCTCCATCGAACCGCTGGTATATAAACAGTACATTGGAAAAGGCAAATCTCAGTGGGATTTTGAGATTTGGTGGGGGATTGTTGGAATTAATGAATGGGCCTTAGCCCACTCGAAGATTAATTCTTTGGAAAATCACAAAAGCCCACCTCATGGGATGGCATGCATGTGGAGTTTAGTACCACCTTGCTTATTCTAGGAGAGGGGGACCTCCTTAAAAGGGAGGATGTCCTCCTAGCCACTTGAAGCATGTGTGGTGGAGAGAAGAGGGGAAACACGCGCGCGCTCGCTCGCCTGGCCTGGCCTGGCAGGGCAGGGCAGGGCAGGCGGCGCGCGTGCACGACGTACGCGTCGAATGGTCTCGAATGGTCCGAAAAATTGGCTCCTCACCCTTGCGCAGATGCAGCCTCCTTTTGCAGTTTTGTTTTGCTGCAAATTCGGATTCGTTTTTGTTTTGGAAACGTTCCGAAAAATCTGGTGCGTGCAAACGGCGTGGAGTCCGGATAAGTTACGCGCGACTTATCCGGTTCGGTTACGCGCAGTAGAGATCGTGCGGGCGCCCTGATCAAGCGACCCTTCTCTATATAAACCGACCCGCCGTCTTCACGCAGTATATACGCAAAATCAATCTAGGGTTTGCCTCCTACTCTGTACTGCGCCGTCGCTCGTAGACTACTCCATCCCGCTCGCCGGCGTGCACCAGCGATCGGGAGAGCAAGTCTACGGAACCTCTGCCTTTGACGTTCTGCACCGGGAGAAGGCGGCAATAAGGTTTTTGGGAAGCGCTTCGCGCGACTGCTCCCTGTTCGTTCGCGACGGCTCGCCTTCCTCTTCGCTCGCGTGTTTCGTGCCTTCGTAGACACCTGCGAAAAGTTTCGACCAAGCAGCCGGTCTTTTCGTCACCTCGGTACGTGTTCAATATGTTGCGCATATTTGATCTGTTCATGTTATACTGTGTAGTTTACATGTGTAGATCTAATGATGCGTTCATGCTACTTTCATCTGTAATGTCATGATTTATTTATGGAATAGATTAAATCATTATATGTCTATAATCTCAACAATATCATGCATGGTCATATCGATCCAAATAGTTTTTGAAGAGATATTCCAACTTAGTGGCTGGTATTTTTTGTTTTCGTAAAGGATGAAAGTGACAACCCTGCTGTCTGCACTACATACGAATCAAACTGAAAGTTGACGCCTGACAAGCAACTCCAGATCCGACAACTCCCATTTCCCATAAGGCCACACTTTTCTTTTCAGCGAGCCACTATTATGACACACACAAAAAGTAAAAGAACATGTAAAACTAGTACTACACACGCAGTCAATAAATTGAATATCCATTGTTAGCTCTCAGTAATTTGCTGCTTAAAATATTGTGAACCAGAACTGATACTAAGCATCATTTACCGGGTTGGCGACGATAGTAATGCCGGTTTGGACTTAGGAACTGAAAGTGATATCAATTTGTTCGGTAGTGTAATTCTTTTATGGACAAGACGGTAGGCATGAAAAACTAGGGCAATGTTTAGCAAATGGGGAAGGGAAATGATTTCCCACCCATCTTTAAATCCTAACCATTCATTCCCTCTCTTCCATTTAATCCTAACCTTTCATTCATTTCCCAATCCCAATCCCACCCCCCATTTCCCATTATCCAAACACATCCTAGTAGTGTCAAATTGTGCTAGAGGACAACCATATTGGATATATTTTATTGGAGTTTAAAAATCTCTTGCTTCTTCATTAGTATCACAATCATCCAACACATCTATTAGTTTTTCTACTTGAAATACTAGTAAAAGTCTAACTACAACAATATTATATTATTTTTTACAACTTGTCCATTAATATATTTAAAACTAATATTTAGATTATATTCTGTTTTGCAAGAATTATATAATTTATGGCAACAGCCACATCTTTTCGCTTATGCTTATACTTATCAGCCAAAATTTGAATTTGCATCCTTAAATTTTCATCTAAGTTTATTTTTGAGCTTTTGCTTTTAGATCGCTAAGAACACGTATAAAAGTTTTACGTAAAAAATATTTTTCTTTTGCAAATATGTTGTTTTGCTTATTCGCCGAATAATTGAAACGATGGAGCTGGAAAGTGCTTATACTATTGTAATTATGTATTATATTAACATAATAAAAAATTAATGGTGATCAAACTAAAACCGCATCTTAAATTAAAAATGGACATACTATGATCTCGATAGGCGCGAAGAGGAGGACGGTGTAGAAGCGCTTGAGGTAGGAGTCGGCGAGGAAGGCGGCCGGGATGGAGAACATCTGCAGCGCGGCGAAGTAGTTGCTCGCCGTCGTCGACGCCTGCGCCACGCCCATGTGCATGGTGCCCCGCAGGTAGCTCACCATGTTCATCATGTTGGCGATGTTGGGCGCGTTGGTCAACAGCACCATCGCTATTCAGATTCATGAAAGGGGTACGCATGCAATGCATATATCTCGTTGTCAGTTAATTAAGTTGAAAAAAAAACTGAGCTTTCTTGACAGTATATACTTGCATGCGTTGTACTGTTTTAATTTTGAGCACTGAAATTTTCTTTCAGCACCGTGTAATTAAAATTCGAGATGATGCATGACGGATAGAATTGAAACTTGGGGGAGTTTGTATTTAATTTGCTGTTGTAAGCAAGAAAAGGTTTTGGTTGCTTCGATAGAGAACATAGATATTCCAAGATTGATGGACCCAGCAAGCAAAAAACAAGCTTATCTTTGTTGACTAATATGTCTCATTTCTACCATTCTACAAGCTAGCTATCCATGAACAGAAACCAACAACTCTCAGCAGTGAGCAAAGGAGAGACATATCAACCAAACAAGGAGAAGAAATCAAGCAAGAAAAAAAAGAAGCATATGCAACCATCATAAGCTCACCATGGATGAAGATGGATGCTCTGACACCTCCATGCTTCTTGGTGTCCACCGGCCTCCCCCTCCAGTCCACTAGCCCTGATGAGCTGCCCATCAATCACCTCTCTCTCTCTCTCTCTGAATTCTGAAACTATTCTTGCTACGTGATCTGATGATCTGGTTGTTGAAGTTGCAGCCAATATTTCTGCCTGGCTAGTGGCGATCGATCGGTGCAAATATATATAAATATAAAGAGGAGAGGAGAGCGGTGGCAGTAGTGGTGGCGTAAGTAAGCGGCACAGAAGAAAAAGGAGGACGCTGTGTCCAATGGAAGTGAAGTAGCTAGCCGGTGGCCCCGGAGTCCCGGACATATTTGGGGAGCGAGACTGAGACGAGAGTGAAGTGACACCAACCGTGGACCACGCACACGCGCTAATATATGTTCACCTTACACATTATATTTGTAACCATATGCAAATTATACTACATTCGTTCTAAATTAGATGTCGTTCTGAATTTTTCTTATAACATTTAACCATTGTCTTACTTAAAAATTAGTGCAATTATAAAAAATGATGAGTCATACTTAAATTACTTTTGATAATAAAACAAGTAACAAACAAAATAAATAATAATTTGATAATCTTTTGAGTAATACCAATATCAAACATTACAAACAAAAAATTAAAACGACAAGTATTTTGGGACGGAGGGAGTATAAAACATAGGAACTCATTTCATTTGATTTAGAAAATATATTACAACTTATTTCTATATATTATATAACTTAATTTTTCCGTAGCAACACGGTGGGGTATTCGTCTAGTTAAGCTTGTATTGATGTTGGTGTACAATGATATTGTCAATTTGTGTATGTGATTTGTAAGACGACTTTAATTTTTGACCACATGTTTTTCTTTTTGTACGATGATATTTTTTCCTCCACGAAACAGTGTGCGCCGTTATGTGTTTCCACTGTCACTGCTCAATTCTATCATCGACTGAAGGTTTTGGTTTTATTTGCCACATAATTCCTTGAAATTGAAACTTTTTATTTACCTTGTAATTTCTGCATAATTTCAACATTGTTGAGCAAAATAGCATTAAAGAACATAGCGACATTCCTCTAATCCCTTGATTGCATATGACACAAGTAAGATCACTTTGTGACTCACCACTATTGAAAGCAATATATGACCATATGGTTGTGTTCGGATAGTAGGGTTGGGAACCCAATCTCCTCGCACGGAAAACGGAGCGGTTCATTAGCGCGTGATTAATTAAGTATTAGCTAAATTTTTTAAAAAAATAGATTAATTTGAATTTTTTAAGCAACTTTTCAAAAAAACACACCGTTTATCAGTTTGAAAAGCGTGCGCGCGGAAAACGAGGGAAAGGGGTTGGGAACTTGGAGTTCCAAACACAGCCGCTGGTTGTATGGCCGAACGTACACTACTAGTAAATGATTTTTATGGGCGGTCAAAAGTGCTATTTGCAGGAGGACAGAAGTGCTGCTGTAGTTAAACGCCTGTGAAAATCGTCAATTTTTGCAGGCCGACAGGCTGTCCGCCTAGAAAGATGGCTTTTCGTAGGCAGCTAAATTATACCGTTCGCCTCCGCTGGTTGTTTGAGCGCTAAAAGCATCCACAGCACGGTCTGCCTGCAAAGATTTTTCAGGCTAGAAAAATCCACAGCTATCGATCCTGTTGCTCCAATTAGATCCAATCCACACAAAATATTCTCAAAGTTGTCAATTGAACAGAAATTATTCTCAAAGTTTCCAAATACACAGAACCAACATTAAACACTCACAAGTTTTCAAATGGAATTCACAGCATCACAATCAAAATTCACAAAGTTTCCAACTGTGAGCGGTCATTGTCACCGTCAACGTCACCGCCGTCGAGAGACCGCCGTCACCGGATCTTGCCTTGTCACCATCATCAACCTCGCCTTGGCTGGGTACAGGGATATGCGGGAGGGGCGAGGGGGCAAAGGTTGGTGATGCCACTAGCCGGTGTCCTCCAGGCAGCCGCCGCCGCCACCATTGCCCTCCTGCTCTCCAGCAAGAACTGAGGGAGGGGAAGGAGTGGAGGGGAGGGCCATCGCCGCCACCATCGTTGCCCTTCTCCCCTACAGCCAGATCTGGGGGAGGTGAAGGAGAGGAGCGGAGGGTTGCCATCGCCACCTTCTTCTGCTGCTATTGGTGCCGTCGTCGCCGCTGCCACCATTGCCCTCCTCCCCTCCGTCTATATCTGAGGGGGGGTGTGAAGGAGAGGAGGGGAGGGTCATTGTTGCCGCCTTCTTCTACTGCTGTTGTTGTCGTCGTCACCGCCGCCACTATTCCCTTCCTCCCTTCCGACCAGATATGGGGTGGTGAAGGAGAGGATGGGTGGGTTGCCATCGCCGCCTTCTTCTGCTGTTGTTGCTGCTGTCGCGCCGCCACCACCATTGCCCTCCTCCCCTCCGCCCAGATCTGGGGGGGTGAAGGAGAGGAGGGGAGGGCCGCCACCAGATCTCGGGGAGGTGAAGGAGTGCAGGGGACGGTCGTCGTCACCACCTTCTTCTGCTGCCATCGCTGTCACCACCGTTGCCCTCCTCCCCTCCGACCAGATCTGGGGGAGCTGAAGGAGCGAAGGGGAGAGTCCCCGCCGCGCCCTCTCAGAGCTGCCTAACCCCGTCGCTCCTTGGAGCCGCTGCCGTGACCGCGGCTCCTTGTTGCAGCCACCGTCACTCCTCCTCAGAGTCGAGATGCCACCCTCGCCCTGCCACTTCTCCTCAAAGCCGCCGCCGCTCCTCTCCACTCCTCACCCCTCTGCCAATCGCATTGACGCGTGGGACAACGTAAGTAGAGGATTTATAGGGGTGAATGGGTGGTGGAGGAGACGATAAAAGCATCTCCAGCAAGGCCCCTGTTCAAATCCTCAAAACTATTTTTAAGAGGTAAGACCAAAATATTAACTCCAGCAGAGCCCCGACTTAAGCCCCCAAAGTAGGAAGGCACCCAAATCCACCCCTATAGCCCCTAGTCCCAGGGGCTCTCTCCACAGCCCCCATCCGTTGGTTGGGGTAGTTGAACCAAGCACGTGCCTCTTTCACCCTCCCGCGTGAGTCCCCGCTACCATCGCCTGCTCACTTTAGCACTCCGATGGCAGCCTCAACAGCCCCAGTTCTTCTCCACCCTGATCTTCCCATCCTTTTTCACGAGGTCCTCGTTGTCGCTCGTGCCGCCTGGTCCGCTGTCCGCCATTGCAGCTATGCTCACCATCGGCGACTGCATACCGGCAAGACGGAGCGCCGTCGCCACGCTACTTTAATTGGTGTATATCTCGATCGCTGCATCACAGCTACTAGCCGCAGGCGAGGCCTGGCCAAGTTGCCCATGGCCGGTCTGTTGTGCTCAGTAAAGAAGCTTGCCATTCCAAAATCATATAGTACTAATGCATTCTCAATGTTGTCAAATTAAATGAATTTAATTTTTTTTTTGAGGGAATGAATTTAGTTTTTTTAGATTCATAGATTTTACTCCGCGTGTTAAAAATGTGTTTTGTGTTAAGATTTTGTTGAGTGCTGCAAAATATTGAAATATGTTTGAACTTGTTAAATGCATAATAATTTCTATGTTATCACATAAATGGCCAAACCAAGATAATTCTTTTAGCACTGTTGTGGCATCATATATTTGTGAAGGTGTGAATAATGCATATGCACATGTCTCTGTTCATTATATTGTTGAATGGGACAAAGTTGTTGCACGATATCTGTGAGGATGTAGAATTACCAAACAAAATATGAGGAAATAAGAGAGAAAACGAAGTTGGGGCTGATATTTAGGGCCTGCTGCTGGAGTTGGGGATTGAATTAAGAGGCTCAAGAAAATGGGAGACCCCCCCATTTAACATTTGGAGGCTTTGATTTAGGAGCAATTGCTGGAGATGCTCTAAGTGACTGGGACTTAGATATTTTTTTAGGCTGAGCTGTTGATACATGATTTCGGATGCGGTTTTGCAAGCTAACCACTTAAATCCTCCGCTCGAGATAATTTTTATATTTTTCGCAGGTGGACGTTCATCCTACTCCTTATTTAGAGCAATGTAGGTGATTATTTGAGGGTGAAAATTCCATCCGCCTGTAAAAATACATGGGTCTCGTCTGCGAAAATAATGTTTTCTAGTAGTGATAAAAGTTCAATATTTTAGTTGTAAATCAACCTATAACAGTTATGTATATTTAAAGTGAAGGCCTGTACAAGAGATATACTAGGTAATAACTAGATAGATGTACTGAGCATTGGGAAGCAATGTATAAATAGAGTTACATGGCTTGGATCTTAAGCAATCCTGAAGAGGTAAGATAGAAACAATTCCTATCCTACCATCACAACCAGATCATATCTAATCGTACCCATATAGTCGAACAACTTCTTGCATTCCAAACATAGGAACATGACTGCTAAGACATGAGTAGACTGGCAAGAGGAACAAGGTAGCCAAGTGAAGGGGGGAGAAGGAGTCATGGTCAAAGTCTCAAAGAAGTCATCGTACATAGGGATGTCGTGGTTGATGCAGCCAATAGCTACTGTCGTGGACGAGATAGCTGAGCCACAAGGTACACAATGAATCCATGGAGAGGTCATCGGCATGTGGGATTGTGCCATGCATGGACTGGGTGCACAAAGTTGTGCCAAAGATGAAGACGATGATGCGATCATGACAATCGTTTGAGAAAATAACATCGAACAACTGATGTTGTCAAACAGTGGAAAAGGAGACATGTAGTTCCATTGTTTTCCCTTCAGCTTATTAGTCTGTTTAGCCTAGGAAGACCTAGTAAAGATGGGTCTAGGCTGGCCAGTGGTCGGTTTTGGCATTTATTATGAGCACAGAATTATCTGCAAGTGCACTGATACTGTTGTAACATTTACCCAAAAGTATTTCAAGGTATCGTACCCATAGGAAATGTGTGTATACAATCTAAGAACATAATTCTTCCAAGGATAACATACTAAAAGGTATGCTTGGGATAGAGACGATTCTTGTGGGTTACATATCTTAATTTAAGTTTAGGTAAAACTTTATCAATTGCTTCGTGCACCGGTTTACCTTTGGTCTTCCAAGAAGACTTCGACCTACAACTTTATGATGTACCTGAGCGTGCAGGATTACAAAGGATGGTGTTGACGACTGTTAAGTACCAAAATAACGCCGTCAATACCTACATAAAACCATAAATGTGAAACATCCAACATAATGGTAGGATTTATTTCTAACAATTTCCACAAATGTTGGTGTATATTTGTATGCAGGTGATAAATCCTGAAGTTGGGAGGAAAATCAGACTAAAGTGAGGAGA